AATATAAAAGTAGTTTACCACCAATGAAAAGCCCGTTAGAATCGGTTCAGCCATTTCAGAGGTTAGCTAGTATAAATAGACAGACATAAATTGTAAAATGTTATTTTGATATATGTATCGTATATGTACTGACTGCCTCGTTGGCCGAGCAGTCGTAAGTGCGACTGCCGGGCGGGGTCTTGGGTTCGATTCCTTAGTCGGGCAAAGTATTACTGGGTTTTTTAAATATTCTCAGTAGTAGCACGGAGTCTGGAATTGTGTCCGGTATATGGCAATAGGCTCACTCCCTATTACATAGGACTCATAACATAACATCCAGTAACTCCAGGTTCACGTTTTACATACTTAGTAATTACTCAAATTATTTATTTCTACACTACAATTTTTTACACATATTTTACAATGCAAATTTGAAACTAAGTAATATAAGTTTTTAGTGCTAACCGCTAATATGCAGGTGAGAGTTGAGAAAAGTTTAATAATAAAAACCGCGAAGTACAAAGATTATGTTAAGTTTGACTTGTTAGTTTGTGGGCCGCGGTAAATAATTTCTTAAGGCCAAGTCTTTTAACTTACTCGAGAAAAAGTGCGGTTTACAAAGTTTTCAAAATAAAATTATCTCGGTATGGGTATGAAAGTATTATTTTGTATATTAACATTTTACAATGAGTATTTTTTATGTATCTTACTTTCTTTTAAGTTTTAAGTAAAACTTGTGGTAAAAAATGTGTAGTAAAAATTTATTTGTGTATATTATGACTTTGACTGCCGTGCAACGTATCGCGAGTTCGATTCCCGCACGAACAACATTCTGTGTGATCCACAAATTGTTGTTTCGGGTCGGTGTGTGTGTATGTGAACTTGTATGTCTGTAAACGCATCCATGACACAGAAGAAAATCCTTTTGACGTCGCCCATGTTAAAAAAGGAGAAGGGTGCAGTACTAGAATTTTAAAAATAAAACAGAAATGCATTTAAATTGCGGAAGACATTTTGCTACTTTTCTATCGCTACAACTCAAATGCAAATTCCCTCAAATATAAAAAATCTTTTGGCAATTAAAAAAATAGTCCAAACTTGTTAGTTACACAAAAGTAAGTATTCATTTAGTAATAACGGCTTATGCACCTATTCTAAGTTCAAAAACCTATCGAAATATCGTAAACATCAAAAAGTACAACGCAAATCAATAAACCACCAATAAATCAAATAGAACCCAATATAATTCGTGTTAACTTTGAGAACTCACGTTATCTTCCGCTCAGATTACATAGAGGGCGCTGTAACCGCGGGGCTACCGATTTAGCCATGTAATATTGACATTCCACATGATTTATGAACAATAAACACAGGCGACCATATTGTTTCTAAAATAGTTCTGTGTCTTAGTTGAAGATAAGCGATTCTAAGGCTGTTTGTTTGTCAGGGTTCTTGAACTTTGTATTGATATGTGAACTATTGTGAAAGGAGGGTTTATTCCTGTCACTATTGTACCTAATTTCGGTATAAAATATACATATTTCTAATAGGAGATATAGATACTAACCTAACATAAGACTTTATTTAGGAGTACCAAATATTAAGTTACATTTATTAAGATTCGAGACAATGTGGAGGTTCTACTGTCTAAAAAATTAAGCCAAAAATGACTACAAGATTTCCATTATGAAAATGAGGGCCTACTTGTAACTACGTTGTCTAATTAAAGTTAACATCTAGTAGAACGTAACAAACCCTAATCAATAAAACTTTTATGAAGAAAAGACTAGAAAAGACAACAGAAAACCTTATCATCACATTATCCACAGCCTATAAATGCCCACTGCTGAGCAAAGCCTCTTCTCACACGGAGAACGTTTGAGCATTAATCACCATGCTTGTTCAATGCGGGTTGGTGATTGCAAACTTATAATTAGATATTATAAGCTCAGGTTTCCTCACGATGTTTTCCTTCACCGTTTGTCAGTGGTGTCTAGATAATCTTACAAAGTACATATAACTCGGAAAAAGTCACATTAGTACTTGCCGTTGGCAGGTTTTGAACCCACACCCTCATGCATGAGAAGCGCGCGTCTTAATTCTCCGGGCTACCACGAAAAGCTTGTACTCGTTTATTATCTACAAAATAATCTTTACCTTAGATTCATGTCTAAACCAATTCAGACACACTAAACTCATCAGTCTTCACATGAGACTAGCAATCACAACACAACGAAGAAGCCCGAATTTTTCCGAACACTTCCGAAGTCTTGCTTCGCTGGGTACGGAAGGAGGTGACTTGATAGTTTCTGTTGGATCCTGCCCACCCTCTTTCACGTTGACGTGTGTCATGTGTGACGGTGTACAATTACTTATTTTCTTTATGTGCTCGTTAATTTTAGTGTTGATTTGAATACATTGTTTTGATTTAATTAGGAAGGTTGGTTTTAATTAGGCAGAGTGGAATATTTTTGTGTCTTTTATGACTTTTTTTTTGTAAATGAAATGGTTCAGCTTTCAGGGGATATTGATGGGTATTTAATTCAAACGAGTAATTAGAGGTATACATAAAGATTCACGCATATATTTTTCAGACTAAAATTATGATTATGAAACCCTTTTAAATCTCCAATAATGGTAATGAAAGATGAACACAAGACCTCTTGTTCACCATGTCGAACTCGTAGTGACGACCAACAACGACGCAGTACGGAATATCTAGAAAGCATACAGGTACAAAAATCGCTCATACCATATTATGTTATCGCTTCTCCATACAGGATAGAACCCTAACATTCTACTCCAAGCTATATTTGTTACAGTCTATTTCAAACTAACTTCCCGCTGTCATTATTTGATAGATTTCGCTGGGCTTTCAAGATTGCGTGCTCCATTCAATGTGGGCGTTCTTCCATCCTTGTCTTTCCAGTTAGGAGAATAAGGGACAAAGATAGGTGGACAATTAAGCCGTTACTAAAAGTGGGACGTTTATTATTGTTTCTTCTTTGTCGTGTTATTTATTTTGAAATGTTCAGTTGTGACTGAGATATTTCTGTTTTGTAAAGGTAAGTACGAGTTGAGATGGTAAAATGAAGAAATGTTTACAAATAGTAGCTCTTAGGTATCTTTGTCGTCTTTTGTATCCAATGGAAGATTTTATCTTTGTGTAAATGTAAACAAGTATTTTCATCCTCTTGAAGTAACTTAGTATACATGTATTAACATAGAAAACGGCTAATCTGCTAGTCAAATTATAAATTAAATAACTTAACATCAGGCCTTCTATCCCCGAAGGAGTAGGCAGAGGTGCACACAGAAGTAACACCCACTTTTCACTATTTATGTTATGAGTCCCATGTAATAGGGTATGAGCCTATTGCCATATACCGGTCACATTTTCAGCCTCCGTGCTACTACTGAGATTTTTTTTAAAAACCCTATAATACTTTGCCCAATCCGGGAATCGAACCCGAGACCCCTTGCCCGGCAGTCGCACTTGCGACCACTTGGCCAACGAGGCAACTCAAAGAATTATTTAAAAAAAAATATATAGTATATATATAATATCGATACGTACGACAGGTACTGTTCTCAAAAAGTACCAAACTAAACTAAGATTTGTATTCCTAGTAAGCAATCGATAAATCTGTTCATAAACCAAAAATCCTTTCCACCTACTCAAGCTCAACATAACAATCCTATAATTTTATTTATACAAATCCAATGACCCCTATAATCGCTTCACCATCTAATTAACAGAACATAATTCAAGCCTGCTTCTCGACGGTATTCAGTTTCTAAATCCGACTGCCCGTCAGCGCTAGTCTGATGCGGTGACAAGGATATTGTGACACTAGTAATTATTAGCTCATTCGGTATTTTAATTTCTGAGATGTGGCGGGTGTATATATACTAAGTATTCGTTTCTGATGAGGATTAGACTTTTTTGTTAATTTATTTAGTGCAAAATTTCCTTTATCGTATTTGTTTGACTTTCCTGAGTCTTTACTTCATAACATCATAACGTCATGCCTTTTATCCCCGCAGAGGTAAGCAGAGGTGCACACAGAAATAACACCCACTTTTCACTATTTATGCTATGAGTCCCATGTAATAGGGGGTGAGCCTATTGCCATATACCGGGCACAATTCCAGATTCCGTGACACTACTGAGATTTAAAAAAAAACTCTGTAATACTTTGTCCGACCCGGGAATTGAACCCGAGACCCCTTGCCCGGCCAGTCACACTTGCGATCACTCGGCTAACAAGGCTTACTTACCTTCGTTTACTCATGTAATTCTGTTTCTTTATTTTGAGGTAATTAAGCACTCTAAAATAAAACATGTCCGTATCGTTATTAGAAACGTATTCATAAAACAGAATAATAAGCTGTTTTAAGTTATCATTTTCGTCATCCTTATCCTATTCATCCATCCATTTCTATTCGCTTGTTTCAATTTTGTACTTATCAATCATGCCCAATTTTCCAATACAAACTCTTTCTACCTGCTCCAAAATACGCCTCCTCACACCCGCTACCACGCCCGCTTGACAATCAGTCCACACAACAATGAGTCCGCGCCTTAATCTTAAGGTGACAGCTACTCTAATTCAACTTTCTCAAACCATTGCCTCCCCACATATGTGACGACGGCTTCAACGATTAAAGTGTCAGGGACATTGTTGACACGCACCGGTTAAAGCTGGTTCTATTGTGGAATTATTTATAAGACTGATTAGCAGTGAAGCGAAATTGTTTTAGAGAGATTATTTGTAATAGAAAATGGTAATACAGTTTAAGGTAATTAATGATGTGATGTAGGCAAAACGATTAAGAAGGTTTCAGTTTCCTAGCATCTATGTTTGCGTCTGGTATTTTGCAACAGATACAGCTACAGAACAGATTTCTATTGTAAAACAACCTTATAAATTTTTTAGCAAAAGTTGGCGTATCAGAAAAAAATAATACTTTCTGGAAACTACAGAAGAATGATATTAGCGTAGCAAAAAGGCACTTACTTCCAAACAAGGATGGCACCGATGAGAACTCCTACGAGTAGCACTATTGAGCACAGTGCGATCACCGCCGACGTCTGCAGGGATGGTCCACTGTGGTTATATGCGTCTATCTTCTGCAAAAGGAAAAAAGAAAATAGGTTAGAATAATAACAATAAAATCTTTTAACATTTATTTAATTAAAATAAACAGTTTCTTTAGTTTCAGGCAAACTGAAGTTAGAAGCTTTTGGGCATTTAAACAAAATAAAATCGAAACTAAAATGAGTCAATTCTCACTTGAGAATCAATTCCAGTTAATCCTTTCCAATAGCAGTTGCGAAAACTCGCGAAGACTACAGATCATAAAATGGTAGTAAAAACTAAATCATAAAAACAAGATATTGAACACAAACCAAACATTATACTAAAAATCATATCAATACAATATCAATCAAGGAGAGTGTATCTATAATGAAAGTAAGTGGTTCCAATGCTGGACTAGTTCCAACGGACATAAAGAATAATAGTTAATTTTTGTTATAAGCAAAAAATGTATATTTGCCAAATGTATTAGTGGCTTTCTTTGAGATATTGTGAATTTTTCGGATCGGTTCACTAATTTTCCCTTATATTATTATGGCTGGTAAAGAATTTGGTCGGGAATGTGGTTATTTTTTAGTAAAACTAATGTAATAAAATGAGTTTCTTGTACTGTGTTCTAACAATAAGCGTGTGTTAATGCCCATTATATGTAATGGCCTCTTTTCATCAGTTATTTTTTGAGTCCCTTTAGAGTTTAAGTTTATACCAGTCATAATTATTGTTATTCTAGGCTCCACGCTGTTACAAATCTTTTTTGAACTTAAAAGAATCGAACGATCTGAAACATGGTCATTATTCTAAAGGCTATTTTTAACACATTCTAAAAAAAGTTACTCAAAACAAAACTGCCTCGTTGGCTAAGTAGTCGCAAGTGCGACTGCCGGCTGTTCTCGGGTTCGATTCCTGGATCGGGCAATGTATTATTGGTTTTTTTTTTGGAAAATTCTCACTTGTAGCACGGAGTCTGGAATTGTGCCCAGTATATGGCAATAGGCTCACCTCCTATTACATGGGACTCATAACATAAATAGTGAAAAGTGGATGTTACATTGTACAGTGGCATAATTTACACCTCTGCCTACCCCTTCAGGGATAAAAAACACGTTGTTATGTTAAAAAAAGTTATTTGAAAATGTACATTAGAACAGATAACCCGACAATCAACCCAACCTTTACAGTCAAAAGGATGAACCCGCAGTATTTCATTCATATCACTTTAATCTAATACTTGAATGCATAACCACAACGAACAACATTAGCGAAATTAAATTTTCAACTTCTTTTAAAATGTTTTCATATTAATATGCATTATAATAATATAAAAAAGCAACGTGAATTTTAATTCAGCATTCTCTTTTCACAGGATGACGTGAATTTTATTTCTTTAGCACTCAACGCGGGCGTCATATTATTGTGAGTGATTCTTATGATACAACGACTTATAAACAAAGCTGTTCGTTTTATTAAAATGGTTCCCATTTTTTTAGTTCTTTTTAATAAGAAGATAATATTATGATTTCATTTAAACTCCGACTACTTTATTAGACCAATTTCTATGACCTTCCTTCACAGTATTCCTTCGTTTTGTTTTTTATCTAGATAGATTGGTACCTATTAGAAAGTCCTAGATACCTTTTTCTACGAAGTCACCGTCCTCTCTCCTTTTCTTCGTAATAGAATGAAAACACTTAGCTTTGAAAAATGATTTTAGAATTTTTGACGAATGTATCAGCCAGGGTATCAATAACAATATCATTACATAAATTCACGATAGGCGTTACCAAATGTACTCAGTGAAATTGAAAAAACGAAGGACAAATTGAAAAAATGAAATGTTGGAGCATATGGCATCGTATTAATTCACATAATTACAATAGGCGTTATTACGAGGGTTGGAAGGTGTAGGGAGGAAGCCGGGAGGCGTGTTTATATGTTTTTTCGATGCAATATGCGTCACGCAAAGCTTGTGGGTGAAAAAATGCAATTTTGCCACGAATTGTTGTTTTTTAGTGGGTGTCAGTCGGTGCTCAAAATGGTGGACGAAGTGTTGAAGGAAATAATTATGATGAACAATGTAGTTTTTATTTAATGGATAAAGCTGAGTAATTATAGAAAATGTAGTCTTTTTCTGTCACAAATTAAGATATTAATGTATTACTGAGTTTAAAAAAAAAATCTCAGTACTAGCTCGGAGTCTGGAATTGTGCCCGGTATATGACAATAGGCTCACCCCCTATTACATGGGACTCATAACATAAATAGTAAAAAATGGGTGTTACATTGTACAGTGGCATAATGTGCACCTCTGCCTATACCTTTGGAGATAAACGGCGTGATATTATGTTATGTTGTTTATGCGTAAAATATGGATTTACATTAATTATGGTAATATGGACACCCCTGGTTGGTTATCTCTCTAAATTACTAAAACTAAAAGAGACTATGCGATATTACGAGGAAGCAGTGACTGACAAAAAGTTACATATCTATCAATTTAATAGGGTTTTTTTTTTAAGGGGGAAAATCATCCAATAATGACTGCTCCCGCCTGGGTGAGGCGGAAGGGAGTGTCAGACTCTTACTGACTAAAAACCAGCCCGTTCCTTCTCCTGCACGTCGAGCCGGAGCCCCGGTTACTCGTTAGGTTCTCCGCGACAATTTAATAGGGTACGGCGCCATAATGTGTCTCGCAGTAAAACCAATTACAATTTCACTCTAAATACTTTTATTACCAAAAACTATTTTATCGTTCATGTTTACTCGTACAACGTAATAGGCAATTCAAGCAACGTCCAACGCAGTCATTCAACCCCCAAGTTGTATATTGTATCGAAAAATAAATCAGAGTACTGGCTTCGAACAGAAAAATAACATTACCTTCACCCAAAAGCGAGTTAACGGAAAACGTGGAGCTTTTCACCTTTTTTCTTTTCAAGGGGAAAATAAAAGTCAAGTTTGAGTTCGGAGTGTGAACGTTTTTGGAGCCTCGATTCCTTTTGATAAAGCATCTTCATGCGTATGTGGGTTTTGAAGAGCGGGTAAAGAATTCTAATCGAGTGGCGTCGCGGTGAATTAGATGAGCTGTTTTCTGGCAGACATCTTGTTTTATTTTGTTTGTTTAGAGTGTTTTTTCTGAGTGACTTGTTGGTTTGTAGGTGAAAATGTAACGTCATACCTGGTAGCTTTTATTAATGTAAGAGTAAAGCAAACTGATGCTAGTAATAGCTCATGGTTTAAAATTCCATGTAGTCTAGGTTCAGTAGTAACTTTACCAAAGACGACTGTTTGATAAGATTCAGAAACATGCTAATTTATATTCAGACTATAGTGCATTGTCACTTTGTAATATTCAAAAAGTAATATAATACTCTTTATTATTGTGTTCATGTTATGATAATACGAATGAGATTATTTGTATGATTAAGATCTGTATCATAAAAGGGTGTTCGATGATTAATTTATTCCATAGGGTTCGAACGAAATCGATTACTCCTGTGATATATTGGCTTCATTTTATTTCACATTCTTATTAAACGTATTAGGACACGTGTCACGAGTATAAAGTACAGAAAATGAATTCTAAAAGGCACGTGTCTCATTTGTACCTACTGGAATATTATACTTCCGTTTATTAAATGAGAAGGATTTCATTATTAGATTTATTGTGCTCTATCTAAGCTCTTTAATAAATGAAGGGTAAAGTAAAAACGCAGAGATGAATGTATTTTTACACTAATTATGTTATATATATGACTCCTATGTAAGAAATAAGGGATGAGATCTTTGTCGTCTATCAGGCATAATTGCAAACTATGATCTGTTCAATAAAAACATTTATAAGTAGACCAAGCCAAAACATTCTGTTTGCAATACAAATAATAGCCTACATTTAAGAAACAAGAACTAAATTCAAGTCTCATACGAATTCCAGTTAAATTACCCAGAAAACACTGTACTAATAATATTAATATTTCATGCCACAAACCAAAGAACAATATTTATGCTATTACCTATAAACCATTACTCATTGCTGCGAAGGGAGGGACGGAACGATTATTTATTTGTATTAATTGGATAGATCATATCGCAACTCCGCATGTATTATTCATTTTACATCCCCATACTTCCATTGTTTGTCATTCTTTTAAACTTAATTGAATTTCTCATAGAATATCCGTGTAAATTGCGAGGGATGGTAAAATTGTACAATTATGATGAATCGTTTGTTATTGGGATCCTTTTTAAGGAAAAAAATTTCGTCTGTCCAATTTTGTTGCAATTGAGAATGCTGATCGCTCAATTTAAATTTGGTTACCGCAAGCTTTGATAGCAAAAGAATATGTATAATTTGAAGTTAGACATTTGTATATCCGTATGCAGTAAATTAATCTTAGGAAAAATGGCGTACTTGCAAAACAGAGGAACAATGTAAGTTTGATAAAGCTGATCAAATGCGAGACAAAATGTACGGGACCAGAGTCAGCGGTCATAGACATAAAAACATTACGACTAGGGTTGTCATAGAACAAAATTGCTCAAGATATCTCAGGTAAAGCAGATCCGTCAAGCTAAATCAAAGGTAAGACCCCAATTTTCCAGCTAAGGATCGCATCTCTTTAGATTTTTACTGCCACTAAACTTTGGGGTCTTCCATATCAGGATTCTACCGGTTAGGTACGTTCTTCGATGAATGTTCTTCCTTTTTGAGATCTTTGAACTCTGCGTGGTTTGACAGCCCTATTTGATATAGATAACAATCTAAGCGCATGTCCCCAGAATGCATTAAGTCTGAAAAAAGGTCGTCCATTTGTCAAAATGTGGCACTATCGGGAAGCGAATCCGTCATCGGCACAGGGACAATATATCGGGCATATCTCACGGAATCTTACAAACAATATCTTGAGAAAAAATGTGGTAAGCGCGATCATTGGTAAGATGAAGAGGATCCACTGGTTACTTAGTATCGGACTTTGGTCAGATGTTATCAGACATTAAAATTTATTATGTGATTTTAAATATGAGCACCAATAGT